CTGTGAGCCCTGAAAATATGAAGACTCTTCTCCCTCTAACACTAGTTTATTTTTTGTTGTTGTTCTTGAATTTTTCTTTCCCTCTATTTTTTAATTTTCTTTTTCCAGAATTCCTATGAGGCAGATGTAGCTAAACTCTAAGACTTTACACCTCCAAACTCTAAGACATTACACCGCCATCCCAGCCTCTGGCAGCGGGCGTTTTCTGGGCTTCCTTGCCACCTCCGTGACTCTTCCATTTGGTGTGTGTCTAGAGCCCGCTGACTGAGTTTTCAATTTTTACCCTAAATCAATAGATTTTCTTTCTGCTAGCAAAAAACATGAAGACACAGAATAGAAAAATCAAACCCTCATTCCCAGTGGTAGCCAAAACTTTTAAAAAACTGCCATGGGATACGCTGAAGAAACAAAGTGTAGTATATTATGTGAAATTCCAATCAGAATCCAAATAGTTCTGAAGGGTGGGGGAACTTCACAAAGTGACTTTAAAGTTCTTAAGGAAAAATACATATAAGAGACAGGAATTGACAAATGAAATGTAACAGAATACAGTTCAGATAAAGGTCCACACAGAAATAGGAATTTAATATACCACAAAATCAGCACATCGACTCAGGAACAAATGGATGAATTATGAAGCAAGTGGCACCGATATGCGCAACAGCCCACCTGGAAGGCAAGTGTCACGGCTCATCCGTCTCCCAGGTAGACAAATACATTCTGAGTGAGAAGCTGAATGGAAAACATTAAATAAAACACTTATAAATGAACGCATAAATAAATAAATACATATTGTTAAGATAAAATTTAGGAAAATATTTGTAAGAACCTGGGGTCAGGAAGGCCTTCTTAAGCAAAACAGGACACTTAGAAGCCAAACAGAAAATGATCGACACATGTGACTATCGTCATTATTACAGTAATACTTTTTAACAGGTAAAATGTAGAAATCATCAAAGGAACAATGATTGGATAGGAGGTTAACAACCTGTTAATCTTTAAGAAAAAGATTTAAAAAATGTGATAGAAAACAGGTCAAGAGCTATGAACTGTCAATTAACAGAAAAAGAAATGCAAATAGTCAATGAATGAGAAAAATAACCCCATTAGATATAAGAGAAATGCAGATTAAAACAGAATGAGTTACTTTTGCCCAACGTTGGCAAAGATTCAAAGGAGTGGTGCTGTGGTTATGGAGGACAGACAGCATTATGCTTGCTTACATGCTGGGGTGGCAGACAAACTGCACACCCTTGGAGGGTAATTCGTCTTTGTGAATTTGGTAGATGTTCACATACTCTGCAAATACAGTGTTGGTGGTAATCATATAACTCTGAGAAGTTAGGCGCGGCCTACACATAACTCTGCAAAGGAAATGGTGGCTTATTTACATAATTCTGTGAATGCAATGGTGGTAACCACGTACCTCTACATTGAATCTACATTGTGGAATTCACATAGATCTGCAACACTGGTTGTGATCTTAGCAGGATGTAATCCTAAAACTCCGTCATGTGGATTATTGTCATATTTACATAACTCTGCAATGTTGGTTGTTATTCACATGATAGTGGTGATAGTGGTATTCACATAATTTCGTGGTGGTAGTTGTGGTACAAACAGAACTCTGTGATGGTGTTGGTGGTAGTTACATGCTGCGATGTTGTCATGGTATTCATGTAATTCTGCAACATTGTCCATGGTATCCGGTTCACCCTGTGACATTGACGAGGGTATTCATGGGATTCTGTGATGTCGGTATTCACATAACTCAGTGGTATTGTTCCTGGGATTCATATGAGTGTGACATTGCAGGTTGTGTTATTCGCATAACTGAGTGTTGGTGTTGGTATTGACATAGTTTTGTGTCATTGTTTGAGGTGTTCATGTAGCTGTGATGTCAGTTGTTGTATTTGCATAATGCTGTGGTGTTGGTGGTGGCAGCATGCATGTCTCTCCAACATTGGTAGAGGAGGATTTACATAATCTGAGGGATTTGTTGTGGTATTCACACAACCCTGCCATGCTTTTCATGGTACTGCATGCTTGTGCAACACTGGTGGTGTTATTTATTGTATCTGTGATGTGGTGATGGTATTAGTCACATAACTCTACAACTTGGTCATGGTATTTACATGACTCTGATGACAGTGACATTGACATTAACATAACATTGCAAAGTAGTGGCGATGGTATTCATGTAAATCTGTGACTTTGGTCAGGATATTCACAAAACTCTGCACCAATGGTGGTGGCAGTATTTGCATAGCTCTGTGGTGCTAGTCATGGTATTGGCATATGACTGCAATGTTGGTGGTGGGAAATTCAAATAATTGCCTTGGTGGTGGTATTCTCTTAACACGCCACAGTGATTGAGGTATTCAAGTAACTCTGTGATAATGGTTGTGGTGGCAGTCATATAACTCTGTCATGGTATTAGATGTAGCAGTGCCAAAATTCTGCAAAGTTGGTTGTAGCTTTCACATATCTTAGTGACAACCACAGTGGTATTTGTATGACCCTGCCATGGTGGTCATGCTGGTATCCACACAACTGTACTATTGGTGGTGGTATTCACACACCTGCAATGGCGGTTGCAGTATTCACACACATCTCTGAGGTTGTCAGTTGTTGGTGGTAGTCACATAACTTTGCAACAGTGCTGATGGTTATGTTCACATAACTCTGCAATGTTGCTTGTACTAGTGTTCTTAAAACTGTGCAATGTTGGGTGTGGCTGTGTTTACACAAATACTGGTCATGGTTTTCCCCTAACTCTGCAGTGGTGGATGTGGTATTTGCATAACTCTGAGTCTTTAGTTGTGTTATTCCATATAAATACATTCATCTTTGATATCCTCAGAGGAATAGTTCCATGACCCTCAAGGATACTAAAGTCCACAATAATCCAGTCCCCGATATCAAATGGCACAGCATATGCATGTAACCTATCCACACCCTCCTGTAAACTTTAAATCCTTTCTATGTTACTTATAACACCTAACACAGGGTAAATGTTATGTAAATGGCTTTTGTGCTGTTTTTTCTTTTCCCAAATACTTTCCATCCACAGTTGGTTGAATCCCTGGATGCAGAATGAGCAGATATGGAGGGCTAACTGTATACATCCATGGTGGGGCAGGTATTCGTATAGCTCTGTAATGGGGGGTGGTAGTCGCATAACTCTGTATTGTTGTTCATAGTTTTCGCATAGCTCTGTGACATTTTCATGATATTTACATAATTCCACAGTGATGATGGTGGTATTCATGTAATTCTGCCACATTGTTTTTGTGTGACATTTTCATAATTCTCGCAGCTCTGGAACATCATGGTGGTGGTGGTATTCCCGGAACTGTATGAGGTTGGCGTGCATGGTGTTCACATAACTGTGCTTTCAGTTGTGGTATTCCTCCAGCTCTGTGGCACTGGTCATGGTTTTCACATAGCTCTGTGATGGTGGATGTGGTGTTTGAATAACTGTGATTTTGATGGTGGTAGAATTTCCGTGGCACTGGTCCTGTTATTCACATGAATCTGTGATGTGGGTTGTTGTAATCACATAACTGCAATGCTGGTGGTAGTCTGATTCATCTATCTCTGTGCCTTGGTCATGGAATTCTTGTAACTGAGGTGGTGGTGGTGGTATTCGAGTGACTGCATTGGTGGTGGTGTTCTCTTGACACTGCCACAGTGGCTGAGGAATTCATATAACTCTGTGATGATGGCTGTGGTGGCAGTCATATAACTCTGTGGTGGTGTCAGGTGTGGTAATCCTGTAACTACACAGAGCTTGTTGCAGCCCTCACATATCTTAGTGACAATGGTGATATTGGCAGTAATGCAATGGTGGGAGTAATAGTCACATTTATGATATAGAAACTTAGGCTTAGAGAAATTTAAAGTTTTGCTTAAAGTTGCAAAACAAGATATGACAAAGCCAGGCTCAAATTCAGGTTTGCTAAGTATTTCAAATACAGTCTTTTCTTTACCATACCATAAGATTTCTTCTGGCTAAATCTAAATTTAAATGCATTTGTCTAAAACATCTGTACCTTCAAACTCCCCAAGGGCTTTCGAAGATAAATATTGTATCTAGTTCTTTATTCATAATTTTAGTTATGTCCATATATTCACATACACATGTATATTTTCATGTGTGAAACTGATGAAAATTTAGCTACACATTTATATGTATGTATTTGAACTTCTGAAAATTTATATTAAGTGAGGCAGAAGAGGGCTTTCCGATAAGCCTTAAGTAAAGCACCTTTTAGATAATGAAGTTTAATGTTGATGAAAGTGTTGGTCATGAAATGTGATGTTGGGGTCTGGGTGGTGGTTTTATGGCAAATATGTGTTTAAACAATCATTGACTTAAACATTTAAGATTTCTGCATTTTGGCTGGGTGCGAAGGCTCACGCCAATCCTAGCACTCTGGGAGGCTGAGGCGGGAGGATCATTTGAGCTCAGGAGTTCGAGACCAGCCTGAACAAGAGCAAGACCCCATCTCTACCAAAAATAGAAAAACTTAGCCGGCCATGGTGGCGCATGCCTGTAGTCCCAGCTACTCGGGAGGCTGAGGGAGGAGGATCGCTTGAGCCCAGGAGTTTGAGGTTGCTGTGAGCTAGGCTGACGCCACGGCACTCTAGCCCGGGCAACAGAGTGAGACTCTGTCTCAAAAAAAAAAAATAATTCCTGCATTTTATGGCATATCAGTTTTACCTCAATAAAAGTTTTTAAAAATGTTTATCTAAATTAAATAAAAATACTAATGGGTGTTAGAAAAGCCCAATACAGTGCCAATCTGAACACTCAGGATATTTTCTTATGGCTGTTATTGCTTTTATAGAAACAGAACAGAGCCTCCCCATAGAATTTGGCATTAAAATGTTATTTAAGAAATGTGTGTGGCATCCCAGAACGCCCTTGTGTAGCTGGGAATTGTCTCTTCATCATAGTTCCCAGGGCTCATGATGTATGTTTTTTCCCCTTGCAGTACTTGGGGTGCATTGAAGTTCTACGCTCAATGAGGTCCCTTGACTTCAGTACAAGAACACAAATTACCAGGTAAGCCCTCTTGAAAATGAACTCCTGTGATTTTACTGCAGAAAGGAAAGATCTCGGTTGGGACAGCCTAGAAATCTCGAGAAGGGAAGACTGCCCCTTAGAGTGTTGATGGCTGGTGACAGAGTCAGGACTCCCTTGTCTAAGACTTTTGCTTGTTTGTCCATGTTCGTCACTTGTAGCTCTTGACAAGAGCACCATGAAGGACATGCTGCCCTTCCACGCTCTTTTTGAAATTTAGCCGCAGACCTATGGAATAACCTGAGTGTTTACATTTGTCTTTTTAACATGTAAAACTCTAATACAAGATTGGTATGGTAAAATTTACTGAACTATGTTCTTTCTAAAAAAAGAAAATCAAGATGTCAAGAGAGAATTTTTAAAAGTATACACAGAAAACAAAATGTGTAGAATTGGAAGTAGATATATCCATGGGAGTAGGCATTTAGTAAACGGACCAATTCTTTAAGGTGTATGCCATTTTGAACGGGTTTTATGTATTTTCCACCACCAACTAGGGTCCAAACAATTTTTTTTCTCCTCCCCCACGACCAGGTCCAGACTTAAGGGCCAGTATTTAAGCACTGTTTTTTAGGTAACATATTATAGTCTAGTATGGTTCCTAGTACAGCATATACCTTTAGAAAAATGTTGATTTCAAGTCATCTTGAAGAGGAGAACTGGAAAGCTAGCACAGTCTGTGAAATTGCTGCATTTCTCTGAAGCAGGAGCTTAGGCTGTTCCAGCACTTACAGAATTGCCTAATCGAGATAGTGAGCTCAGACAATGCATCGTATTTACTTTGTTCAAATCACTCTATTGTATATATTTGGATTAGCAAACCAAGATTGAGCTTTAGAAAGCAATTTTTTGTAGTAACTAGTTGCTAAATTGAGGTGTACACACCTCAATTGTGTTGTAAATACCATTATAATACCTCCTCTTCCTCACTGAAAAAATTTATGATCAAAAGAGTTAAGTTTTTTTCCTCTCCAAAATGACTTGAGATATGCAGGATGGGAACGTACCAATATCAGTGGTCTACACAAAGGAAGGAATCCACCTCCACATATTTGTAGAAAATGGTTCATGAAAATTTCAAAGTCAAAGGAATGATGTTTTTAATTGAGACCATTAAGAGAAAAGTTTGAGCATTTCCTCAGTCAAGCAATCATTCCCCTTGCCATGAAAGGGCACGGCCAGTGCATCACGGCAGAGCGCTTCCTCAGTGCCTGGGGGAACCACGGGAACTGCCTGACTGTCCTTGTTCTCCTGTGCGGACGCTGCTTCTAAAGGAATAAATAGTCGATTAGGGAAGAACTGTCAACCATTTCTACTAAATCCCCTTTATAAATGCTAGGATTTCTTCCGCCCGCCACCCAAATGCTAGGATTTCTGAGATGATTCCATGGCATTTTTTTTTTTTTTTTTTTTTTTTGACAGAGTCTCACTTTGTTGCCCAGGCTAGAGTGAGTGCCGTGGCGTCAGCCTAGCTCACAGCAACCTCAAACTCCTGGGCTTGAGTGATCCTTCTGCCTCAGCCTCCCGAGTAGCTGGGACTACAGGCATGCACCACCATGCCCGGCTAATTTTTTATATATATATATCAGTTGGCCAATTAATTTCTTTGTATTTATAGTAGAGACGGGGTCTCGCTCTTGCTCAGGCTGGTTTTGAACTCCTGACCTTGAGCAATCCGCCCGCCTCGGCCTCCCAAGAGCTAGGATTACAGGCGTGAGCCACAGCGCCCGGCCGATTCCATGGCATTTTAATTCTCCCGATGCGTCTACTAAACATCTACTGCGGGCTGGGCATGTGCACACTCTGGGTGCTCGTCAGCACGGCTGTCCTGCCGTGGCAGGCCTCCCAGAGGCGGGAGGAAGATATGTGCACAAATGACCGGGAGGCATTCCAGAGCACAGACCAGCTCCTGCTCCTCCGGGGTGGCGGTGGGGTGGGCTGAGGGAACAAGTGAATAAGTTCACTTTTCTCTTTGATGGGATATAACTCGGCACCATGGGTTACAGCCCAAATAGAGAGAAGTGATAGTGACATTGCAGAAGGGACCGGTTGGAGCAGACGCTGGTTGTGTGGAGGTTTCGATGTCTTTCTCCAATACTGTTCCGTGTAGGTTTCACTAACGGTGCACCAGCATGGTGGGGCAAATGGAGCCCCTGGCAGGGAGGACCTGGGCCAGTCAGAGGCGTCTGCACCATCTGAGTTTCTCCGCTGCTTGCTGCAGCTGCAATACCATTCTTGGACTTACGAAACTTGGTGCCGAATTCTGGTTGTACCAGAATCACCTTAGATTTTATCACACTTTTTGAAAGCTACATTTTCCTGTCTCCAGGATGCTTTCTGTCTCTTGCATCATTTTTGTCATGGAACATCTTTCTTTAGTTAATAGCTGGAGACCAAGTGCTAAATCAACATGAGAAGGAAGCCAGTTGCATCACAAGAAGAACACCCAGTGTGTTTTGGGGATGTGGCACACTGTGGTCACTGAGTGTTACACACGTCTGTGATTAAATTCTACCACCAGACTGTACTTTACATACTCAGGACATCTTGGAAGGTTGCAGGGAAATCTACTGTTCTGATTAAGTCATATTATCTAGGCACTAGGAAAACAGATTTCTAAAAGTCCTTTTATAAAAATATATTTTTATGAGTAGATAATTAATCCCTACTTATTCCTTCAATTTAAAATTTTAGATATAATTTAAAAATTCAGATATAATTTGGAGACTCCAAGAGCTGTACCATGTCTCTTTCTGTCGCGATTGGTTTAGTTTTGTGCTGTTCCTGGCGTCTGAGTTTAAATTTATGGTGACGCTTTTGAAAACACCAGACATGGAATACTGATGTCTTACTAAAAGATAATTTTGAGAACACCCAGTGAAGTCACCATTGATTATGTAATAGTGCTTCGGTAGCTGTGAAAAGTCTCACGTCCTTAACACCTTGGGCTGACTCATTCACTCAGAGGTGGAACCTGCTGTTTTGCAGAGTCAGCTGGCTGTAGAGCCCAGCTCTGCCGATGTCCACCTGTGTAACCTCAGTCCCTGGACTTGCATACCTAGTAAAAGAGGTTCCAAAATAAAACCTGCCTGGCAAGATTGTTGTTAGAAATCAGTCTCTGTATCTGATGCCCACAGCACAGGGCCTGGCAAAGAGGGAGTAGACTGTAGAGCAGAGGTCCCCAACCTTTTTGGCACCAGGGATGGGTGTTAGGGAAGACAATTCTTCCATGGACTGTGAAATGTGGTGGGCAGCAGAGCTCTGTGGCCCGGTGTCTCACAGGGGGTTGGGGACGGCAGCTGCCGAGTGTCACTCAGTCTCATTGCCGACGTGTGTTTAACACAGTGAGCACAACACTCCAGCCGGGTGAGTGGCCAGGGGTGTGAGAGCAATTGAAGTCATGTAGATCGACGGTGGCCCCTGGGCCAGGCTGCTGATGGGTAGACGGAGGAACACAGGGGTGTTCCAGGCCCTGGGAAGGCTGCCTGGACCGCAGGGATGCATTCCAGAACCAGAAATAGCTTCTCCAACGAGCAGTCGTGTCCCAGCGTGCCCTTGGCCACCAGGCTCAGCACAGTCTTACAGAGGACGGATCCCCTGAGTGCACATCCACTGAAAGTGTTCCCTGTCAAACACAGTCTGGAAGGTGGCATCCGAGACCCCCACCTTTGTGGGCTCACGATGCACACTGCAGCGTTAAAGGCTGGCGGACCCTGCTGTGGGGGCAGTGAGCCTTGGCTGTCCCAGTGTTTCCCACACTTGCTCAGCCGACTTGAGAGAACTGCCCTGCCCGCTCTCCTCTTCCCTCCATACCCGTGACACCCACTGTACGCATGGATTTCACCCTGCTGTGCGAACTCCGAGGGGCTTGAGGGAGGTGTCACCCTGGGGCAGGTGGGGGCACCACTCAGGGAGACCCAGGCTTCCCAGCTGGAAGTCGGTCAGAAGCCTCTGCACTGACCCGAGTTGGGCCGCTGGGTTTCCCCGCTGTCGCTGTGGCTGCAAATGCAGGACGTCCGCTGTCCTGGGCTTCAGTCTGACTGCCAGCGAGCCGCTTGTGTGGACCGTGTGCCTCCCTGAGAATTCCTCTCCTGCAAGCCTCTCGTTTCTAACTGAGGGTGGTTGGAACTGTGTTAGTGTTTCCTGGATGAACTGGACAGGCTACATTACCCGGTGTAGATTCCGGGGAGACGGTCCTTCCGGGTCTGAGCACTTTTGGTGGCCATGGAGGGCCACGCCCCTGGCCTTTTGAGCACCCTGCGGGCTGTGGGTCTCTGTTTGGAGAGCCCTGTGGGGCCGGCCCAGAGAGGGATAGGAAGCCTCCGTGCCACCCAGGTCACTAGACCTAGCACGGCCCTGCCTTCTTTCCCTATTACTTTGACTTCCTCACCTACTTTTTAAATTTTATTTCTTCATGCTTTGAATGCACGTTGAATTTGTCTATCATAGGAAGCCCCCAGCCACTTTTAGAACATGGAAGGCCATAAATAAATACACAATGAAACAAGAGCACTCAGCAAGGTGGTCTTTCTCCAATAATAAACGCGAAACTCTGGCGTGCAGTTTGGTTCTTAGCCATACTCGATGGCTTCCTGCACTGCTTGGATGCACTGGGTGACTGTTGAGTTTGCTTTCCGAAAACTCAGGGTCATGTGCACACATGCACCCAGATGGGCGTGGCTTTGCTACCCTCCAAGGGAGCTGTGAGTCGATTTAGAACACATTGTTCAGGGCTCAATATAACCCTGCTTTTTCAAATTGTAGAGAGTGAACAATTGAATCCATTTTGAGTTTGTTGTTTTCCTCATTCTAACAGCCATCCTAGTTTCAGGGGGCCTGGAGAGCCTAGTTCAACTCACACTCACGTTCGGCGGCCAGCACAGACCCACGGCGCTTCGCCCCCAGCCTCTCACTTTGTACCCAGAGCTGAGGACTCTGCTTCAGAACTGGGGAGTCTGGAATATTCTCCAGGAGCATGCATAAAATCCTCTTAGATCGAAAACCAAAATCAAAACCTCTGGAAAAAATATCTTCCTTTTAGGAAGGGTATGGAGACGTTTATGACTGGCGCGTGGAAGTTGAGGGCGCGGCGCGGCCGGACACACAGTGAGCGCTCGGCCGGCCGCGGAGACGCGGGGTCGCTCGGCTCCGCGGACCTGTCACGGGAGGGACTTCGGAAAGAAGGCAGCTGAGCGCCCGCGGTCGTGGTGTGGAAGGCTGAGCGCTCAGGAGCCCAGGGCTTAGAGGGCGCAGAGGAGCAGGCCGCGCACAAGGGGCAGGGCCCGAGCCGAGCTGCGGGTGCTGGTGGAACCGCGGCGGCGTGCGGGGCTGGTGTCCTCGCTGGCCCTGTGCACAGTGGGCCAGCTGGAAGGAGGGCAGGCCAGCGAGACCGTCTTCAGCTGGAAGGAGGACAGGCCAGCGAGACCGCAGCGCAGCTTCGCCGCTCTGCCCACCCTCTGTTCTCCTCCAAGAGTTCGCTCGGAGAGCTTGGCAAAGCTCTGAGGGAAAAGACAGTCCAAGGTAAAAACTTCCCCATGCAATCCTTCAGCTCCATGGAGCCCCAGCGCCCTCCCGCGCGCGCACTCCCCCCCAGCTCCAGTGCATCTGATCTCGTGTGGTGAGGCTGAGTGCGCCCTCCTGCCCTCCTCGGACTTCCTGCAAGAGAGGGGCCGACCGGGCGGAGCTCCTCCACCCACGAACATCCACCGCGACCCCTCTGCCTCTCTCCTTGGACATTTCTGTATTGCATGGCATTTAACCACAAGTTCATTTGGGCATCGAAACAATGCATATCGTGTGGTTTTAAGACAAGCTGCAGTTACTAACAAGATATTTGTGTTGTTTATAGAGGATTTCCTATCCTCAGGGCATACCAGGCTGGGAGAAGACGGACATCAGGGAAGAAGGGCAGGTAAGACCAAGGCTCCTCAGAACTCAGTGGGGTTGCATGCTACTAGATTAATTTGAGTTTGTGAGGTTAAACAGACGTCACTGTGGGAATGCCCAGTACAGGCGGGGTGCAAGGAAGGGACCCACAAGCCAATTCCTTGATCAGATTGAAGTACCACGTGTCCTAATCAGCATCCCCAGACAGACCCTGAGACTCTGGGAGGATACCAAGGGAGCACCGACGGGGGTGGGCACGGCGAGTGGGAAGGGACCGTCATCAATGGACATTCTGAGCAGGGTCCCCTAAGGATTTGCTACACATATTTAGATCATTGCATTTTCTACAGTAGTGGTTCTCAAACTTGAGCATACATACGTTAGCTGGAGAGTCTGTTACAATGCAGATTGTGAGCCCCACCCGCAGGGTTTCCAGTGCAGCAGGGTGGAGGAGGGGTGTGGGAATGTGAATTTCAACAAGCGTTCAGAGGATGCTGATGCTGTGGTCCAGGTACCCCGCTTTGAGAACCAGTGTTCTAGAGTTCTATTTTTAACTTTGAAATCACTTGCAACTACCGTCTATGAAACCACAGCTTTGAAAACGATGCTGTTTATTTTTTTTCAAGTAATCCCACTCATCCAGACATTGTAAAAATGGAGAATATAGATGAATTGGTGGCTGAGAATGGTTTAAATAGAATCCATAAAATGAATCAGTGGTGTCCATTCCCATACTCTTCTTAAGGACCATCTGGCAGGGTGCATATTTATAACCCTTGTGCATAAGCACAGTTGTGTCACAGTGGACCTCTCTGACTGCTCCTTTTCCGTCTCTTTCTCTGAGTTCCTCTATCCCCCAAATACATCATTCCATAAGGGTCCCTTTGCTCTTGACAGAGGCAGCCTAGAATAGCAGGATTGGGGTTTGATTATGTGGGCTTTTGTGTAGGCTCTACAACTTTCCGGCTGTGCGGCCTTGTGGGCCTAACTTAAGTTCTCTGTGTCTCAGCTCCTCCTATTTAAAATGGGAGCCATAATGGAAGCTCCTTCATACAGTTGAGACTTCACTGAGTTAATGTCTGAAAAGCACTTAACATGCTGTCCAGTACATGGTCAGGCTCAAACACATTGGCTGATACTGATATTCTCATTTTATTATATCCTCTCCATATTGGCAATCTTGTTGCTTCAAACAGCATTTCCAGGTGCGTTAGTCACAGCTCTGTCTCTGAATTTTCTCTTGGGGCCCAGGCCTGGATTTCTGGCAGCCTGCTGGACAGCATATCCTTAGCAATACTCCACCAGCTGCCACGTCCTGAGTCCTGACTCTGCCTTCCCCCCCTGTTTGGTTTCCTTCCTATCACTGTGGTGGGTGGGGTTCAGCTCGCATCTTTGTGTTGCAACTGCAATCCAAGTGGTCTCCCAAACTGAAAATCTTGGAGTAGGTTTCATCTCATTTCCCTCACCCTTGTTCAATAACTAATACTTGTTGCTTCTCTCTTGGAAGTTCCTTAGTGGTTTCTCTCCTTTTCCAGTTTCTCTCTCTTCTTCAGTTTCCTTTGTTTCTGCCAATAGGTTAATGTACCTGAAGCATATTATTTCTTCTTAAACTTCATTGTTTATCCATTATCTGCAGAATACAATACAAAGTTCTTAGCATGCACAGTTCTGCTGGACTGGCCCCAGGATACCTTTCCAAACTTGTTTCTCATGGCTCCTCACTATGATTCCTTGGTACATGCAGCACTGAATACCTACTGCCCATTCTCCTGCCCCAGCGTCCCTGCCCCGCCATCCCTGCCCCCAGGCTCAGTATTCAGCCACAGACTACTTACTTTGGCTCTGAGCTACAAGACCACTTTGTCTGAGTTCATGTAGAGACTTTGACCTCATTGCACATTGTACTGGACTTTTAAAGACACAGACCATTTTTCACTTACTTTAAAATATTTGACATCCTCCATACGCTCTTGGAAACTTCGATTTTAAGCAAAACAGTGTGCAGCAGCTCCTCAAAAAACATCACTTCTTTCAACGTAATTTTGCTATACTGTTCATGAGAAAAAAATTGCTTTCTTTATACATCATTTCACTTAAAGTTGCAGTTTCCAAAACCTATTGATGGTGCTAAGTGAGAACTTACTGTAACATCTATTGTAAAACACTAATTTTATAACCACTAAAAAAACCCACTGCATATTAAAATATGATACAATGCTTTCATATCACTTAGAGTCATTTTATATATATTGAAAAAGCTATTTTAGATTATTCCAGACACAGATTTATATCGTTACATTTGTACATCTGTTAAAGGAAAATATAAGCTATATAAAAAAGGCATTCCTAAAAACTTATTCAAATTCAGTCTGAGTACACTGAATCATTTTTTGACACAGAATCATTTCCACCTATTTTTTTCTAAGTTTTATCATCCTTTAGGCTATTTCAAGAGCATTGGAAATCAACGAAATTGGAATTAGAAAATGAATAGAGAAAATATTTGAAACCAAAAGTGGTTTTTAAAAAGACCAATAATGTTGATAAACTGCTAGTTAGACTGATCAAAAAGAGAGAGGGAGAATTGAAATGGCCAACACCAGGAAGAAAGCAGGCACCACCAGCCCTGCAGGCACTGTGGACAGCGACAGAATTAGAAGGGGGTGTTGTGAACAGCTTGATACCAATTACTTTGACAACTTAGATAAAATGAACAAATTCTTTGAAATTTGTTCAACTGCCAAAGTTAACTAAAGAAAAAATAGATAATCTGAATAGTCCTATATCTATTAGATAAATTAAATTCATAGTAAAAAAAACCCCACATTTTCATAGAGAAAACTCCGGTGCCAGCTGTTTCCACTGGTGAATGCTACCAAACATTTAAGGAAGAAATAACATCAATTCTCCATAATTCCAGTTCATTTTATGAAGCCAGTATTATCCTGATACCAAAACCAGACAAAGACATTACAAGAAAAGAAAACTTGTGAGCATAGATACAAAACACTAACGATATATTACAAACTGGATCTGGCAGTGTATCAAAGAGATAGTAATACGTCATCCCTTAGAGGGGTTCCAAGGATTGTAAGGTAAGTTCAACATTCCCTAGCCTAGTTAGTGTTGCTATAAAGAGATACCTGAGGCTGGGTAATCTGTAAAGAAACAGGGTTTATTGAGTTCAGCATCTGCCAGCTGTAACTGCTACCTGGTGACAGCCCCGGCTGGTCCACTCAGGGATGAAGGGGAAGGCGAGCTGGCGTAGGCCGGGATCACGTGTCGAATGAGGAAGCTAGGTCGAGGGGAGGTGCAGGCACTTGTTCATAACCATTTCCTGAGGGAACTAACAGTGAGAACTCACGTGCCTCCCCCACTCAGAAAGGGCATTAATCTACTCATAAGAGATCCAGCCCCATCACCCAAACACCTCCCATTCGGCCTCACCTCTAACATTGGATCAAATTTCAGCATGGGGTTTTGGGGGACAAACATTCGAACTATACCGAACATTAAAAAGTCAATCAGTATAATTCCCCATATCAAGCATACTAAAAAAGAAAAATTACATGAAAATCTCAACAAATACAGAAAAGCCTTTGCCAAAATTTAATATACATTCATGATAAAACTGTTGGCACACTACGAATAGAAGGAAAACCTCCTCAATCTGACAACAGAGCATCTACAAAAAACCAACAGCCAACATCATAGTTAATGGTGAAAACTGAATATTTTCACTCTAAGATTGGGAACAAGGCATTAAGGCAAGAAAAAGCCATATGAATTTGGTTAAGAAATAACAGTATCTCTTTTTGTAGATGACATGATCATTTACGGAGAAAATACTGAAGAATCTGCATAAAAGCTGCTAGAAATAATAAGTGACTTTGGCAAGGCTGCAGAATGCAATGTCAAAATACAATTATCAATTGTATTTCTTTATACCAACAAAGAGCCATTAGAAAATAAAATTTACAAATGACCATTTATAATAGCATAAAAATGAAATAATTCAGTGTTAAATTAACAAAATGTGTATTTTATTTGTTTATTTATTTATGAATGAGATGGGGTCTCACTTTGTCACCCAGGCTGGAGTGCAGTGGCATGATCATAGCTCACTGTAGCCTCAAACTCCAGGGCTCCAGTGATCCTCCTGCCTCAGCCTCCTAAGTAGGTGGCACTACAGGTGTGCGCCACCACCATCTGCACCTGACCCCCCCAGGCTAATTTGTTTTCATTATTTTTTAGAGATATAGTCTCACTAAATTGCCCAGGCTGGGTGTGTAAGATTTATATGCTAAATACTATTAATAATGGAAGAAAAAAATTAAAGATCTAAATAAATGGAGAGATATACTGCGTTCATAGACTAAAAGATTCAGTATTGTTAAAATGTCAGACTTTTCCAAATTTATTTATAGATTTAACACAATTCCAATCAAAGTCCTAGTAGGTTTTCTGTAGAAATTAAAAGGGCGATTCTTAAATGCATATAGAATAATCAGGGATCTAGAGTAACCAAAACAATTTTGAAAAAGCAATATAAAGAGAATTCACACCAGAAAGTTACAGTCAATGTAGTGTGGAATCAGCACCATACAGACATAAAATGGAATACTACTCAGTAATAAAAAAGGAACAAAATCTTGATACATGTAACAATGTGGATGGATCTCAAAAACACTATGGTAAGTAAAAGAGGCTTCATGCTATTGGATTCCATTTATATGACATTCCAGTAGAGAAAATATAACATTATAGGGAAAGGGTCCAGAGTACTGGGTGTCAGAGTCTTGAGGTGGGGACTGAGACTGGTCACAAAAGTGAGATGGGGGCACCTTTGGGGATAATGGAAACAGCCTCTCTCTTGATTTTGATGGTTACATGAACATACCTGCTTTTCAAAACTCATAGAACTAAACATTTAAAAAGCGTGAATTATACTTCACTAAATCTTTTAAAAAGTTCTCCACCTTTGTCTCTGGAATTCTTTTTCAAACTAATGATATCCATTCTGAAAGTTTTGATGCATATATGCAGAAAATGGTAACTACATCATGACTGCTGCCTGGCCCACAGCGATTTCAGAAATGATAAAATTAGAAAACTATGCATCTTGGATCAATTCAAGACTATTTCCTACCAGATTGTAAGATCCTTGATGGCATCCAGACAATACCATGGGCTTTTTCTTATATCTCACAGGCTTTCGATTAATGTTTATTAGGTTGATTAATAGATTTTGCAGCAGAGAAGCTTCTTAGATCTCAAGTAATAGGTGGATAATCTTGTGCCCTGGAAAACATAGGGGATGCTTAGATAAAAATCAGGCATGAAATTGAGATAAAGTAACTATGTCTTGTGTATCAAGATATATCCATTTTTATTATAAAAATAACACCAACAAATTAATATGTGCTTATTGGCACAAAATTAGAATATACAGAAGCAGTGTAAATTCCCTTCCACAAGCCCAACACTATTAATATTTTAAAATACCACATTCCAGTTCCAAGATGCACCCTTTTCACATTTTACCATCTCTGAAATCTGGATGCAACTTATGTTCAGTGGTGTCTTATCTCTTTCTGCCAGGACGGTGGCAGTTGTGTGGCTGCTGTCACTCCTGAGCCTGTGCACACTTGGAGTTGTTTCTGTTGGCGTAATTAGGTGATTCTGACTCTTAGTGATCAGTCCACCAACCATTTCAGGGAACTAGAATCCTCACTGCTGGCTAAAGTCCCTCCTCCCCCCTCCCCTTCTGGAGCAGTCAAGCATTAAAGCTTGTGGAATGGGCTTCAGTGGCTTGGAAGAAAAGACAGGACATAATCATGGAGAACCCTTTGAAAAGTTGTATCACCTATGTTCTTGATGGCTGGGAGAATGATATTGCATAGAAAAGCACAGACATAGACAGCTATGAATCAAAAAGGGATTCGGAAGTGTTGAAATCATAATGTGAAGAAGTTGGAAGAATAGTTTAACTTCTTTCCCTCACCTGTTTGCTTTTATGTGTGCAGAAGAGTGATATATAATAAAAATCTATACATTAATAAATCTAAAAGAATTCTCTAAAAGTATAAAAGAAAAATCCCAAGTGACAGGAAAGTACTGTGTCATAGTTTTATTGACTGTATTTTTTCTTTCATTATGAAATGTAAAATATGATCCATTTTGCAATCACTTGCATCTTCGATTTGATTAAATACAGCATTTAATTCCTTCATTTTATCTATGCATTTTAAACTTTTTATATGACTTTAATATAAAAGATGTAAGAATAGGACAAATGTATCCAGCATAACTCTAAATATTTTTTTGAATCATTTGAGAGTAAGTTGGAGATACTGTACCTGTTTAACCCTAACTAGCTAAGTGCATATTTCCTGAGAACTATATTTTCTTACATGTCCACAGTACAATGATCAAATCAGAAACTTTGACAATGAGAGAACACAAGTACCTAATTTAATAGTCTAAATTTTATCAATTGTCTCAATAATGTTCTTCATAGCTGTTTTTTTCCCCCACTAGAATTTAATCCAGGATCACCCGTTACATTTAGTTGTCACATCTCTTGGGTTTCTTTTAATCCCGAGCAGTTCCTCAGGCTCTCTTTATCTTTTTTGACGCTGATGTTTATTGAGAGTACATGACAGTGATTGTGTAGAATTTCTCTCAATTTTAATTTGTGTGTTGCTTTCTCACGATCAGTCTCAGGTTATACATTTCTGGCAGTAAACAATAAAAACTGTCCTTCCCAGCGCGTCATACTGGAGGTATGTGACACTACTTTGGCTCAATATTGATGATGTCAGCTTTGATGATTTAGTTAAGAGGATGTATTTTTCATGTGTATTTTTTATATAATAGTGTTCTGTTTGTTTATAAAAGGTTGAATTCATCTTTGCTCCTTTAGAAGTATTTTCTCTCACCATTAAAAGCTCTCAATATTTATTGTTTATCATTGAAAAATAACGAAGTCTAAAGTGTCTCAATGCAGTGGGGACTGAGCGCAGTCCCCTTGCGAACCTGGGGTTATTCCATTGGTAAGTAAGCTCACTGATGGCCGGGAAGGGGACAGGCAGCCCCTGGAAAAGCCCTGCGGGAGTGCCTGGCCGAGCACACAGCATTTGCCCAAGCAAGGTTAGCGGGACGCCAAGTTCCAGGAGTCTAGGAAAATGACTAAAAATGAAGCGGCAGAAAAAGCAAACAGTTAACAGCGCCAGCTCAGATGTGATTCATGAGACAAACGCCATGGGGAAAAGTTATATTAAATAATTCCTCCTGTCTATGCCCAGAGCCTTTTTTATGAAAATTAGTACATCTGCATCTGCTTAGCAATATGCAAGTCACTCATTTCAGGAAACACAGCTTCCTTTGTTTAGTATAATGTCCTTGCTCTTCACGTTTTCATCTACTACTTATAACCTTGAAAAACAAGACTTGTGGGAAAACTTACAGAGTAGGAATTTATACCTCCTTTTGAAGTAAAGCCTTTGAGCACTGAAAATTAAATTCAATTAGCCAATCTGTAATTTCCTGTAATTTAGTTAAATGCACTTTAATACTTAAAATATCTGCAGAGAGAGCTATATTGTGGGATGGGGATTCTGACGCCGCCCTCCCGGACGGGCTGGCGGCCGGTGTCCTTTCTCAGGGAACAGCCCTCTCGCCTGCAGCGGGACGTCCCTGCAGCCCCGCCTGGGGGAGAAGGCTCCCTGCCGCTCCGTCCCGCCGCTCCGTCCGTCCCGTGCCGTGCCGTCTAGGGTCCTCCGCGGGCCTTTGATGAGGCTCTGGCAATCCCTTGCTTGCTTCTGTTCAGAAAGCATCTCCAGTTTCCGGGCAGTCCGCAGAGCGCGGATGCGCCCGCGCCCCGCCGCCCGCCCCGCCGCCCCCGCCCCTCGGCCCGGCCGCGCCCTCGCTTCGGCCGGCCCGCGACCCTCGGCCTCGGCCCGCGCCCTCGGCCTCGGCCGCGCCCCGCGCCCTCGCCCGCGCCTCGGCCTCGCCGCCCCGCGCCCTCGCCTCGGCCCGCCCGCGCTCGCCCGCGCGCCCTCGGCCTCGGCCGCCCGCGCCTCGGCCGCGCGCTCGCGCGCGCCCCGCGCGCCCGCGCGCCCTGCGCGTGACCTCAGCCCACGGCGCCGCGAGGGCCTGTGCTCCCCAGTGGGACGCGGCCTCCCGGCCCTCGCACGCTGTAAGAAGTGACTGAAAACTTCATGATGTCAGGCCTTGGGTTCGGTCAGAGGCCCCGAGCTCTCCCTGCTGCATTCTTCCCCGACCCCCACCGCGGGCCTGCAGGACAGACAGGAGAGAAGCTGGCGCCGGCCGCCACCGCCCCGTGGGCCGCGCAGGGTGCAGACGCGCCCCTGCCCTCCCGGGGAGGTTCCTCTTCCTCCACGGAGTCACGTTCGCAAGACCGCAGGGCGCAGGAGGCGTTTGCCTGGGGAGCAGGCGCCGCCAGGCACTGCCAGCTGGGAGCCCCTGCGGGAGAGAGGAGGCCCCACACTAGGGCTTCACCTCCGCAGGGTCCACCTTTGGGATCAGCTGTCTTGTGCATTGTAGGATATGTAGCAGTTCCCTGACCCCTACGCGCTAGGCGCCGGTAGCATGGCGCAGCCTACACTGTGACGATCAAAACTGTCTTCAGACTTTGCCAGATGTCCCCTGGGAGTGAACACTGCTGCTCTACCCTGAGCCACATGCCTTAGAAGTAATGGTTTTTTCATTATAAAAGTAACACATACATACTAGAGAAATTTCAGAAAACAAAGAAATGTACGAAAAAGGGGGTGGAGTTTTCACTTAATTTTCCACATATTTGCAATCACACTTCATACAAAATTTTGTGCCTTTCATTTTCCTGTTACTCCTAATATTAAGTAATGATGTCAATATACTAATTGAATTGTATGTTGAGTGCATACGTTATCATTTTAATGCAAATTAGCTCGTGAGCTTTTGACTTTCAGTGCCAGCGGAAGTCAAAGCACAGACCTCCTGCAGGGTGGGTGGGGCCCGCCTTGGGGTCTCTGGGCTTCTGCTGCCTCAGGGACCCAAGCAAGTAATGATTTCCTGGTTTTCGAGGAATCTCAAATCATGTCACACTCACTTAGTAGCAGGTAACATTTTTGTGTGTTTGGTTGAATTCTCATTCTCATCTGAATACGACTCTCATCCATGTTCAGTGTTTATGTGTGTAGTCGAGTAGAACTGGATCCTTGGCAATCTACGTGCATAGCTATATTTGTGCTATTTATTATTTTTTAGCTGTGATTTGCTTACTTATGAGGTGGCACTTTCTGACATGCAGCAGACGCCCACGGAGCCTTTTAATAGCGCCGGGCGGGAGTGCTGGTGGAGCCCACCCGGGGCCCATGAGAAGCACCTTACCACCCAGGTTTGAAAGTGCCTTCGCTCAATTATTTATAGCCGCAGGCAGGAATGCTGTCGTTACAGGCATAAAAATGCATCACACAATGGTGATGAATTTGATAGGAAATACTGAAGGTCTAATTATGCTTAGAGTGAAGAAAGGGGAAGATATGAAATATGAAACTCTGTCCTCAGCTGGAGGGGGAGGCATGCTGGAGTTTTGTATCAGGCTATGGCAAAGGCCCTTGTGACTATGTCCACAGCCCTTGGTGTCTGGCTTTAACAGAATTGATTTCTTTTTTTCTTTTTTGACTTTTACTTAATTGCTACTTATTTTTAAAATTGTAGTAAAATATATATCACATAAAGTTTACCATTTAACCATTTCAAGTGGACAGTTCAGTGGCATTAACTACATTTACTTTGTTGTGCAGCCATCATCACCATCCATCTCTAGAACTTTTTCATCTTGCAAAACTGAAACTGTCTCCATCAAACAACTCCCCACTTTTCCCTCCCCTCAGCCCCTGGCAACCCCCATTCTACTTCCTGCCTCTATAGATTTGATGCTAGGGTCCTCATGCGAGTGGGGTCACACAGTGTTTGTCTTTTCAGACTGGCTTATTTCACGTAGCATAATGTCTTCAAGGCATCCACGTTGTAGCATGTGTTGGGATTTTCTTCCTTTTTAAGGCCGAATAATATTCCACTGTCTGTATATATGACATTCTGTTTGTCCATTCATCTGTTGATGAGCAATTGGGTTGTTTCTCTATCTTGGCTATTGTGAATAGTGCTGCTATGAACACGGGTGTAGAAATATCTGCTTGAGTCTTGCATTCAATTCATTTGGCTTTATATCCAGAAGGGAGATTGCTGGATCATATGGTAATTCTATGCCTAACATTTTAAGGAACTGCCAAAACATCTTCCATAGTGGCTGCTGCAGCATTTTACATTCCCACAAGCAATGTGCAAGGTTCTAATTTCTCCTTGTCCTCGCCAACTCTTGTTTTCTGTTTTTTTGTTAATAGCCATCATGATGAGTGTGAGGTGGTATCTCTTTGTGGCTTTAGCAGGAATGATGTTTTGCACATGTATCATGCTTCATCATCCTAGAGTCCCTCAGATGTGAACTGGCATCGATCTCCTCTTGGGCACGCTTGTTTGCTCAGACTCTAATACCAGGTGTCTCAGACTAGCTCCCTGTCTTCCAACACACAGGGCTTCTGCTGCAAACCAGACCCACCTGTGACCTCCCATACCTGCTGTGTGAGCTCAGACAGGCTACTTACTCTTTGTGGTCTCAGATTCTCACCTATAAAATGGAGGTTGTAATGATCGCTGCAATATTAAAAGACTGATACTCTCAAAGTCATAGAACAGCACTACGGACTCACTATAGTTAACACCATTGTGGCTGCTATTGCTACTTTTACAATCTTCCTGCCCTTGGCATGATGTCGCCCAGTCACCAGGCTTGGAGTTGTTGTCTCCAAATTGTGCATGATTGTCTTTGAACTGCTTCTTGGGTTCCTGCCTTTCCTCCATCTCGCCTTAGGCCTTCCCAGGCCTGGCTGCTTCACCACAGGGGTTGAGGTCCTCTCGTCCCCTGAGAACGTGACAACTCTTCTCCCACCAGGGCTTTCTGAAAAATACCACATTCCTGTTCCAAAATCACTTTCAGCTTGTGCTTCTTTAGTTTCAAAAGCTATAATGGCTCCTGATGACATAGAAATTACATCCCAAGCCTGCTGCCTGGTGGTTTTGCTATTTTTACTTCTATTTTTATATTTCAATATTAATGTGTTGCTGTATAGCATAGCTCTCACAGAGCACACACCTCTTAAGGGCACTGTTCACCGGGTTTTACATGCGCATGCGCATTCCCAAGGAACTGTCACCCAGATCAGACGTTCCAGCCTGAAGAAAGCCCCCTGTGCCCTCCCAGCCAGGAGCACCCCTCCGCAAACCACCGGCAGCCCTCTCCCTCCGCTCCACTCATGGGCCTGTTTGTGGGGCTCTCAGACATGGAAGGATGCCGTGTGTCCTTGTGTGGGACGTGTCTCCTTCCCTCACCTTTTCCTGCGTGACCTTCCGTCACGGTGTTGTCTGTCCCCGTGGTTTGCTCTCTGTCGCGGCCCAGCAGCGTCGCAGCGAGAGTGACTGCCGCGTGGCCGCTGCGCACGTTCCTGTGCGTGCCTGCTGCGCGCGCGCGTCTCTCCGGGACACACGCCTCGGTGTGCAGCTGCTGGGTCGAAGGATAGGCTGTTTCTTATTTCACTAAAAATTTCTTGTGTGGCTATAATTTTTCCCTAGCTTCATTAAGCTCTGATTTGCATAAATAAAACCGGTCTGCTTTAAATGTGCAGTTTTGTGAGTATTGGTAATGGCATACTGTTTACTAACAACACAATAAAGGTACAGAACATTTCTACCAGCCTCTATAATTCTTTTGTGCCCCTTTGCAGTCAGTATCCTTCTTCAAACCTGCCCCAGGCAACCACAGAAGTTTATAACACTATAATTTTGCCTTTCCTGGAGTTTTGTATAAATGGAATCATTCTATCTAAGGTCTTTTGTGCCTGGCTTCTTTCAGTCAGCATGTTGTTGCATGTCATGCGTGGTAGGAATGCAAAATGGTACAGGCACTTAGGAAAATAAGTGGACAGTTTATTATAAAGTTAAATATTAATTTACCACACTATATGGCAATAAAAACATGTCCACAGTATGTCTATGTTCATAGCAGCATTATTTGTAATAGACTCAAACAATAGCTCAGTTGTCCAACAACTAGTGAACAGATATGCAAATCCTGGCATGTGCGTCCTATAAACACTACTCACCCATACAAAAGAATGAGCTGCCAATGCATGCAACAACATAGACTGATATTTTTGTTTCCTTTTTAAAATAGTTATTTTTTTGTTCTGTTAAAACGATAGATGCTTATTGTAACAAGTCAAATAATATGGAGTAGAGAAAAAGATAAAGTTAACCAGTGTTATACAATTATTATGTACCCATAATAATTAACAATAATTTTTTTTAAAAAAGATAACCAATGTTAATAGCTGGTGGCTGTCTATTTTTTTTCATATTCACACACAGACACACACACACACACATGCACATGAGCCCTCCTTTTTATATGTTAAAAATGGGAATCACACCACACCGATTACTCCACAGTTTGCTTTTTGCTTGAATGTATCAGTAGATTTGGGTCTAAATCCTTATTTCTCATAACAGCAAGTCATTATGGCTATATGATAGTGAAGTCAACGCTTCACAGTGTTGCTTTGTGTTGCTGGGCAAAGCAGTGGTGTGAGAGCTCCCTACGTGTCTGCACCCTTCTGTGCTGGGCTGGCTCCCAGGGACAGACTCCAAGGTGGGGCCACTGCCACGACCTCTGAGCTTCACACTGTCACCTGCAGTTT